CTAGTTGAATGTGCGTGTTTTGCTAGTTGAAACAACTGCGTTGTCTGTCCTTTTCCCTAAGTGTTTTTATTCTTTGACTCTTGCCCTTTCACCAACCCGCTCTTTGTTTTTTGTCACAGGGGCTGTTTTCCCTAAATTCTTTCGAACCAACCTCCCCCCCCCCCTTCCTCCTGTTTACGCTGGCCCTCGCCTTTCTGGAGGGGCTATCTAGCCCCCACACTCAAGTTTCTCGTTGACAAAAAGAATTCCAAACGATGAACAGAAAATCTGCCTGGCCAGAAGGCTGCATATTCAGGCACTTTTTAAAGCGAAAGCATTAACTGTCCCATGGAGCGAAACCGGCGTTTTCTGTAGCAGCGAAAAACGGCAACTAAATTGGCTGAGCGAAACGGCACGTGAAGTCACATTGGCCAAAAGCACAGCAATGCAGATGCTTCGCCACTGAAGCCGGTGGGGCGCTCAAGGTCAAAGCAGACACGCCGCAGAAATAAAACACGAAGAAAAGCAGAGCAACGCAGATGCATCGTCAAGGAAGCCGTGGAGCCGACGCGGACGCCGCGCCTGGGCACTGGGGGAGGGTGATGTCACCGCCGGAGCGCGGTGTGAAAAATGAAGACGTGGCGCGCTGCTTGTACGAATGCGCTGTGTGTAGGAATGCTTTCGCATTCTTACACGTAAGCAGTCTTAAGTGTCTTCGTTTAATTTTTTGTTAATTTTGTGGTTCTCGCCACTTCGAGCGTGCTGAAAGTAACGTCGGAGCTGGTGCTGTTGAAACGTGCATTGTTTTATTTTCTGCACTTTCACTAGCCTCATGGCAGATTACCATGAACTTATATTGCCCTCTGAAGTAAAGCGATACACAGGAATAAAAAAAAATTACAGACGTTTACAATTCTCTGTGATTCCATTAGAGCGCAGCTCTTGAGCGGGGTGAGGGAAGGGTGCGGTGAGGAGGTTTGGGTACGGTAGGGAATTTAGAGCGAAATTGTGAGACAATTTGCCGGTAAATTTCCCCGCTAAACTGTGCGGATTTCCCCGCTCAATTTGTCGGAAAAGTTTTCTCGCTAAGTTTAGCGGAAAAAATTGCCCGCTAAATTTGGCTGGAAAATGTCCCCGCTAAATTTGAGGGAAAAAAACTAGCGGAATATTTTCCGCGAAAGAAAAATTGTCAGCTAAATTTTGCTGAAAATTTTCCGCCAATTTTAGGCTCCGTGTGGCTTCACGACGGTGACGTGACACGTGACGTCACATGTGGCATTATTATGGGAAACGCCCTATAATGCAACGCGCGGCGGCGCTGACGGCGACGGCGACGCCGCTCAAGGAGGAAACGAGCGTAAGGTAACGATGCTTGTTTTGTGCTTATTCTTTATTGAAACAAACGTTGTGCTGTATGCTGTATGCGTGGTGTTTGTACTTTTCGCTTCAATCTTCTGAAGTCTTTGTTCCGTGAGAACGCCGACACGAAAACACACGCGGGGAGAAGGAACGTGCTTGACATTGTTTGCAGGCGTCGTTATCATCCATTATGCAGTTTCCATTTCACACGAGGTCTTCGAATGATGTCAACCCCTTTCGGAACAGCTGCAAACCTCATATTTACCGGAACGCGTGGGAGGGCGTTCCTATTGCTCACACGCGCCTTATCATACATCATGAGGTTTTGATTCTTGTGTTGTGGTAATTACTTTGAGGTTTTCTTTATTAAAACAGATACTGAGTTGTGTGCTGTATCCCTGGTGTCAAAGGAGATATGCTGTTTTGCCTTCAATTGTTCGTTGGGAGTTTTTTGCTTACAACGCTAATGACACAAAAATTTCCTTGGCCGGTAGAGGTATACAGCTTCGCTGTAGAAGAATCACTTATATTAGTCCTACGGATATAAGCAGTGAAGTTCCCAAGAAGCATCCTATGACTGCTTAGCAGTCGATAATTGAAATGTTTTATCGCAACAAACAGACAAAGAGACATTTCACTAACCTGCCCTCTAGGGCGCGGAATGACATGCTTCCTCGTTTATCTCGCACAACGTAAGCGGCACATGTTTTTTACACTCGACAGACGAATTGGGAGTTCTCCGTGTATTTATGGGATTGAATAAGAGCAAACGCCATGACATCGACCAAATACAAGTGAAGCCCGCTAAATTCGTAATCGATGTGGTGGCCCCACTTTTGGTATATACAGGGTGTTTTTGTTTTTAGCTGCACCAAATTTTCGAAAAGAAAATAACGTGAGATACAGTAATTTGAGCCCTGGGGAAGTGTTAGTGGCCATGGCGGCCTCTAGAAAAAAGGTGAAATTAAGTAATTAGTTTGCTAATCAACTAAAATGTTTTAACTAACTTTTTAATTTGTCACTTGAGGGCACTTAAAGGGGCCCTCCGGAGCGTTCTGAGATGGTCTCTTTATGGCGGTAACTCTATCTACGGGTCCTAAAGATCCTAAAAATCGTCGAATTACGGTCATGCGCGGCGGATTTCCCTATTAAAATCAGTCTTGGGTAAGTTAATTTTAAAAAGTAATTCGTTACAGTTACAGTTACTTTCAGAAAAAAGTAGTGAAGTTACCATTACAGTTACTTCAACAAAATAGTAACTCGTTACAGTTACAGTTACTTTTAAGAAGTAACGACGTTACTTTTCAATTACTTTTTCATACACAAAAAAAAATTAGGAAAAACTAGAAAACGCCTTTCACCAAGTTCGTTTGCATAAAATTAAAAACTGCGCTTATTACTTCAAATTGTAACTTAGCCGCAGTTGCTTCTCGAAATTAGTGTCTTAAAGTTTCCCTCGTTTAATTGCGAACACGTTCCTGCCCTTGCTGAGAGGTGCCCAACTGGTGCGCTGGAAGGAATTGCATGGGGTAAACGTGGACCAGTCTTGGGTAAGTTACTTTTAAAAAGTAATTCGTTACAGTTACAGTTACTTTTATAAAAAAAGTAGCGAAGTTACCGTTCAGTTACCGCAACAAAAGAGTAACTCGTTACAGTTACAGTTACTTTTAAAAAGTAATGACGTTACTTTCAGTTACTTTTCTATAACACAAAAAATTATTAAAAGCTAGAAAACACCCCTCACCAAGTTTTATTGCATAAAATTAAGACGTACGCTTTTTACTTCAAATTGTAACTTAGCAGCAGTTGCTTCTCGAAATTAGTGTTTGAAAGTTTCCGCGCCCGAGTAGTGGTGCAAATTAAAATACGGAACATCTGCAGTGCGGAGTAGTGGCGCTAATCAAAATACGAAACATGCGCAGTGCGGAGTAGTGGCGCTAATCAAAATACAAAACATACGCAGCGCCCTCCGCCTGTATTCTTTCACGGTTGATTCACCAGATTGAAAAGCGTTTGCACAAAAAAATGAAAAAAAACACAACATAAATAGTGCTCAAGACGTTAAGATGTAAGTGTTCAGTCACAAAGTACAAGCGCGTGCGTAAAGATAACTAGATGTTTTTTCATCAAATCTACACGTCGCTATATTCGGCTCGTGACTCGCGAGAAAGAACGTATTCACAAGTTTGTGCAAAGCCAACTTGACACTCGAAATGTCGGAACAGACGATTTGGAAAGTTCGAGGAATAGATAAATTGCACTTGTTCAGTGATATATTATTCATAAAAAGCTGGAAAGTAACGACAAAAGTAACGTCGTTACTTTCATCGTTACCTCAGAAAAAAGTAATAGAACTACAGTTACAAGTTACATTTTTAAAAAGTAACTCGTTACAGTTACAAGTTACCAGAAAAGTAATTAAGTTACAGTAACGCGTTACTACCCAAGACTGACGTGGACCCAATTCAAATGCCCTACCCTTGGTAACACTAGCAAATTTCTGGCTCGTTGATGGTTGCGCTGGGTTCATAGAGTCCCGGGACATATCTCAGTTCGTACCCGGCAAGTCAGAAACAAACCCCGCGCAAACAGCAGTAAATTTTGCCTCGACTGTTGACACCACGCCGGGGTAGTGGCGCAAAATCAAAATACGAAACGTGCCCATAGCGGAGTAGTGGCGCTAATCAAAATACGAAACATACGCAGTGAAGTCCGTGTGTATTGTTGATTCACAGTTGGTTCACCCGGTTAAAAAGCGTTTGTGCAGGAAAAAAACAACAAAAAACGCCACATGAATAGTGCTTCAGATACTAATAAGGAAGTATTCATTCAAAAAGTACAAGGAGAGTCGACTGTGGCACCTCCATGCAGCCTGCGGAAGTAGACTATATAATCCGTTTTGTAAGCCCCATTTTGTTTTCCCAAACGTTGAAACATTTCATTAGGGTAGTGCGCTTCAACCACGGAATTCATTGACCACAATTACAGTGACAGCGAAATTATGGGGTCACAAAAGCACACATTTGTTTAGGTATCATGCCATCAGCATGCTTATTCTACGTTATCCAGGGGATTACACACGTTTGGGACGTCTCTTTCAAGGGACTTTCCGAACGTTTCCTTGGGGGATGGATTTCCCGCCTATTCAGAACGCAACATTGTTAGCGCGAACAAGCGATCGCCGGTTTTTCTATGAGAAACCAAAGGATCTCAGCAAAGTTCTAATTGCTGGGGAAAAAGCTCATTCGGGTCTATAATGCAGGTGATAAAAGTTCGTCCTCACTAATACTCTTTCGAAGTAAATCCGAGAAAGCGCCAATGTCTTGATCGCTCTAGCAGTGTCGGGATGTGTACTGTGGCGTCCTGCCCGAAGATGCACGTCTCGGGCAAAGCATTTGGCAACGAATTAGTGCGATAAATAATATGTGAAACAGCAGAAATAAAGAATACCGTAAAGGGTTAGCCAAACAATACGAAACAATCGAACTCGTGCGGAACGCCAAGCCAGCCAAGCGCTACCGCTGCCTGAGCTCCGCAATCCGGCAGCACGCCTACTACATGTTGCGCCCTCTCGCGGCCACCGATCCGGTCATCGCTGAAAGAGCCCCCCTTCCGCCGGCGCTCGCTACACTGCCCAGTCTTCTAGTACACCATAACCCGACGATGGAACCGGGCGGCTTGGGAACACGGACTGGTACGTGGTGCGCTCCATTATACCCCGCTTTAATGGGCAATTGATGCGTGTTTCCTGAAAAGGTGTCTATGTGGTTCCTGCGCGCCGATGGAGACCCTCGTCGAGTGCGTCTGCTGCCGCGAATACCCGGCCGTCGCACGGAAGCAGCAGGGCCGGCAGGGCTGCGTAACGGGCCACCCCGACTTCGAGGCCCTGTGCCTCAACCCTGGGGTGTTGAGGTTGGCCTACCTCAACATGCGGCACTACGGGCAGCAAGGGATGGGCGCAAGTGCCAGCGAGTGAGTACGATGTCATGCTTAGCGCGTGAGCAAACTCACCATGTCTCGGTGAGGACCGTGCCCTCGGCAACTACGTTCACTGTCCGATTCACAGCGTACATACGTACTTGTAATAACTTGTTGTTAGGCTAGATGAACGTTTAGCACCATCCTGGGAAGCGGTCGATGAATTGTTTGTATTGCCGATAGTGAAATTAATCATAACACCCACTGTCCAGGCGCAATATAGCGCTCCAGGGAGGCTTTCAAGAGACTAAATGAGAAGCAGCCTGTCTAGTTACCACCCAGTCATTTGTTCAATACAGAAACACGAACACTTCCAACTACTGTCCCACTATAAACTACACATATTCTTATATGTTCTAAACAAACTGTTCTGATGAGACCGCCCTCTTCGAGCGTTACACTTCTTCCTGTTAGGCCAGATCATGGAGCGCTATTTTTTCTTGCATTTGCGGTTATCAGTTTAGATATGTCATTTTCTTGCTCTGTTTAGATGCAATGTTATGCAACAATAGCACTATGAAATATATGACAGTCACATGGCCTCGTCTCTTGTCGAGACGGCCTCGCCTCGTCGAGAGCAATAGAAGGCGACACCTCGGATGTACATATGCTTCGGCGTTGTCCCCATGCCCAAAGCTCCCTTACCTCCCTCTTTTTCACCCTTCTCGACCCTCTGACTAGGCAGGCTGGCTCGCCCCCCCCCCCCCCCCCCCTCCAGCTTCAACTCGTTGATACACTACTGCTCCTACTGGTACAGCATGTCCATGCTGTACTGGGTGAGCACTGGTGGCCCCAATCAAGCACCGGACTATGGTGTAACTAATAAAGGTTCCCTCTCTCTCCCTTTCTCTTTCTCTGTCTCTCGAGAGAGCAGTGGATATCCCACACGTTTGGCTTTGGCGCAAACGACAAAGATAACGCAGTCCGTGTCAGAAACCCAAGTCTGGCTCGCAGCTTGCTCAAATGGTGTCTCTGAACAGAGCCGAATTAGCGCCTGAAGCCCCTCTACAAGCTCGCAGAGAGCAGGTGGCCGCAAAGGCTTGAAAGTCCTACTTTGTCAACGAGAGGCGAAGATTAACTCACTCCCGAGATTGTATTCGTCTCATGCAGTTTCCTTGTTTTTCTGTCTTAGCATAACTCAACAAAGGGTGAAAGCTACTGCCCTTGTGGGCCAGTCTGAGCGACGGAGCTAAGCACGTGCCAAGATTCCACAGGAGGAGTACACAAAGACATTACGTTGTCACACACATTGTTGTTACACACCCCGATTGGCTTGCTGATGCCGTAGCTTTTACATTTTCCCAAGTTCGGAAAAACGAAGAATTACTGTTTCCAGATTCTTTCCTCCTAGCTTTATGGACTGGACCAGCACTATACTACAGAACAACACTTTCGAAGCAACAAATAAATAAGCACGAAGTTATGATATTGACGTAGTAATTCGCAACCATGTTGGGGAAGGATGCTCCAGTCACTTTGTTTCTCAGAGCTAAGAGTTCAGAAAACTGCATACACCTACTTTATCTTGCGTGCATCAATGCCTTGTTGCTCTCTTAAAAATGAGCTTAGCTATGCCAGCTAAGTTGATGCTGGGCAATCTTTTTGAGAAGAAACAAACACCAACTGCTTCAAGTGCACTGTCAACGTCGACAGTACAGTTGGCACCTTCAGCTCAGACATACTCGTCCTTCTACCTGGTCTAGTCTCTGCGTGTGACCTTCAAGCCCATCAAAACAGGGGCCGATATCAAAATGACGAAAATCAAAATGTAAAGGCCAAACATTGAAACGTCGAAAAATAAAGTGCCGAACAGCAAAACGCCGAAAGGTGAGAATGCGTACATATCTAATCGCCATATTTGGTACGGTATTGGCAGATGCTAGCTGCACCAGTGTGTTGGAATCATGGAAGTGTCTTCCGCCAAATTAGGAGCATGAAAAATGTGCAAGCTGCGCTCGAAGACGACATCGAGGCAGAAATCAGATTAGAACGTCGTCATCTACCACACAAGAAGCAAAGCATGTGACAAGAGAGCCTGACAGCCGCTTTGGGCAACTGGGACAAGCTCAACATCCTTAGCTTTCTTTGAGAAATACGCACAAACTATCAGATCATATTCAACAAACAAAGAATTCCTCTGGCAGAACAAATGTTTCTTCCACTTTCTCAATCTAGAACCCTGTAGGTTCGTGTCGAACATAATATTTTGGAATTGTTTGGTCTTTGGTACCGGGTGATTCGGCTAATTGAGATTTCGGCGGTTTGTTCTTTCAGCATTTCTTATTTTCGGCATTTCCATAATGCATCCTTTCAATTTTTGGGTGTCCCAAGCGAGTGCAATGTTCTCTGGTCAAAACAATCAAAAACTTGAGAACGATGACATAGGCACAGATTGCTGTTGAGTCCATGGATGCCACTACGTCTTTCCTCTAGAAGGCAAGTGGAGACTTATATTCCAACCCTATCGGCAAAAGTCATTTTCTTTACTCCAGTATCCAAATTGTCAGAAGGGGCTTTAGGCGGTGTTTGCACGCTTTTTGGTCAAGAAACTACACAAAACGGCAGTCATTGAAGGCTCATTGCTCTGGTTCGTGCACCGTTTACAATGCAATGGCAATGCGAACTAGAAACCTTCCATTCGCCCAGCGATGCGAAGTATCCCCCCTCCCCCCCCCCCCCCCCCCCCACACACACACACAAACACACCAGCAATATAAAACACCCCCCTGAAACAAATTTCTGGCTATGCCACTGCAGGCCATGCACTCCAAAAAATAAAAAATGTCCTCCTTCCCATACTATAATTGTCAGGGCAGTGCAGCCATATGGGGGGCGTACCATACTGATTTACGATTTATTTTTACGCAGATATTGTCCACTTAGGGGTCGGTAGGCGTGTCGACTTCCTCAACGTAGTCCCCCTGTAGACGAACGCACTTGTTCCAGTGGTGTGGCAGCCTTTCCGTTCCGTTCCGGGACCATTCTTTGGGAGTGCTTTGCACCCACGCCTGAACAGCCGCTTCGAGTTCACCAGTGTCCATGAAATAGGGTTGTCATAGGTGGTTTTTCCATGGTGCTGAATGGCTGATGGTCACTGCGGGCTAGGCCGAGGGAGTACGGTGAATGTAGGGATGAGCATTGTCATGCTGCAAGAGCGTACCTGCCGCCCCTTTCCCTGGCAGCTTCTCGTGAATGGCGCAATCACCTGAGGGTAGCCGCATACGGGGCGATGTTGATGGTGGTGGCCGGTTACATGCAGTCAATAAGCATAATGCCCTCCGTATTCAGAAAGCCACGCGAGGATGTCTTTGCGGACATTGATGACTCGGAGGCATCTGTCCAGGCGTGAGTGAGACACACTTATAAACAGCGCAGTGATGTGATTGCTGCGCCAATTGCGCCAAACTGCACCAAGGGGCTAACTTTGCTACATCCTGCTACATTTCACCGAAATATGGCTAATCTGTGCCAAGCCTGCGCCAAAGAAGCAATTTTGGTCAGCTTTCAAAAACGAAACGAAACTGAGAACCGTAATTGCGCATGCGTAAGCTAGGTCGCACAAGACGCCACCCGACACAAGGTACCCTGTATTAATCGTCTATTTGGTCTTGCATGATTTTTCCCGACGTCTCGCGTTTCGTGCACTCGTCGTCTCAGAAATCTCGTCTCGCGTCTTTTTTTTTTTTTTCTTTTTAGCGGTAGACGCGGGCGTGTGCGGACTCTTAGACGTTAGTGTATCGGGTGCCAAACATGCCGTCATGCTGTGAGACAAAACCACGTTTTTGCGCGGCGGGAGTTACTTTTTGAGCTGAAGCGCTCGCGCGACGTCGTGTGTTGCCGTCCCCACGTCGCTGCAGATATGGCGCTTACTAAACTGAAACGCATCGACATTCCTGCTCTTGTTTAAATCATACGCTGCTATAAAAATCCCTCTTTAACTCAATGACTGCTTGGCGAAGTTTTGATTACTTAGGTTTTTCCTAGTGGGATTTCTTTCGAGAGGGACCCCGGTACGTGAAAAATTTGCAGCGAAAGAAAGTTGGTGAAGAGAAGTGAGCTAAAGCAAAGAAGGCAATGCCTGCACGCTGAACCCGCACAGCGTGCTTGTTTGTCTCCAGTTCAGTCGTTGCAAGAAGCGCTCCAAGAACTTTTTTGACCTTGATTCGCAGCGTCCTGCATCAATACGCTCAGGTTCTTTTTTTCTGTGTGTTTAGCCTGTACCTCGCCTGCCGGCCTGGCAAGCACGAGTCGCTGGACTGTTTATTGTTGTATGCTGGACAGTTACATTTTGCATACTATTTTGGGAACCATGCAGTTGGTGACGGAGCGCGGAGTGGCATGGTTTCGGTTTCGGTCAAACTGCCGTTGTCTCCGCCCGCGCGACGAAGCACGTGTAACTGCAAGCCTGCCGAAGTTGCCCTTACGTGCATGTGAACATGATTGCAACAAAGGCACCAGCCGGGACGCTTGCAATGCGTTGTTTTACGTCTGCTTACTTTTTTTTATAAAAATCTGCCACGTCAAGAATTTTGGCAATGCCAGAAGAGTCCATGTGCGTATGGCAGCTGCCTAGTTTGTTGTGCCAAGAGCTGCACAATAGTTTGTGCTCACTTGATTGTCACAAGGTGGGACGCCACGACAACAGCCACACTTGCATCTGCTCGTTTTCTCTGACGTAACTTTTCCGGCATCTGATAGCATGACACTTTGGCTCCCGTAACATATTTTGTTGCCACTTTGGGACGGCTTTTGATCTATGGGAGGTATAGGGCAGTAAACACCCCAGTCAGAGACACGTCAAGGCGTCCTGCCCTCCAATCCTTCCTAGCTTCGATCCCTTAATCCCGAGATCTAGCTGAAAAGCCAAAATCTCAAGGTGGGGTGATAATTATTGGGCGCCTGGGTCTTGATTTACACTATTTTTGGATGCAGATGCCAGACACCCTGAAGCCGGTGGATGATCATCTCGACATGTTCCTTGTGGTGCCAACAACACTTGCACCGCTGGTGTGGCATTCTTTGCACGCTATGCTGGGATAGTTTTTTAGGAGTGCCATGTCTGGACAGCTTATTCAGAAGCAGGCTGTCGTCGTCGAGATCCATGCTTTTTTTTTAACAGATGATGTTGCAGTGCCCACATAGGTGAGTATGACAGAAAGGATTCGAGATTGGAATAGGTCACCAAACAGTATCGCATCATTTTTCGTTAAAATATTTTTCTAACAACACTATTCGTTGAAATAAACACTGAAATTCAAAGTTTCTCGCGCAAGAATGGGGAGGCCTGGGGGGGCTCATATGTATCCCCACTACTCTGATGATAGTAGTGTCACCTCTAAATCAACACAGCATAATGGAAGACATATCGCAGTCTGAAACGGGAAAAAATGTTGATATGTGTGTCTTGCAGATGCGTATATGACCAAATAGCAAATGATTGCGGTGCCCTGAGCCCTAAGGTATTCAGGACCAATAAACACATGGGGGTGGTAGCCGCTGTAATGGCAAATGGGAGCTGTCAGAATGACATGTTCGGATATTGACACGGATTGTGTCGGAGAGACATGAAATCACAACTGCTGGAGCCACTCCAGTATTGCATGAGCACTTCAGCTCGTATGTTTACACCAAAACTGTTCTTTGTGAGCTTCATAGAACACTCATGGCCAGGCTGCTATTCTCAAATCCCTAATCACCAGTATCAATGCCAAGCTTCGGCAGTGCCACAGCACTTTAGACAATATAAAATTGGGACGTTCTCTGATGAGTTCACATTCCCTGGCACTTGTGTGCAGGACACCTTTGCAGTAGGTGTGTGCGAATATTGGTTCAAATCGAATAGTACAATGTTTGCCATAACCTTCGCGCTGCAAAGGGAAGCCGATGCAACCGGCTCTTTTTGCGCTGTTGATGCTAGAAACGACAGTGCACTATTTGATTCGAACCAATATTTGCACACCACTACTTCACAGGCTTACGAACTGCACTGTTTTGTCCCAAATTAGACAACATCATATGGGGAGCTTTCCACCGTTCTGGATGAATGGCTCCCATTCCCTCTGGCCAGTGCACATAATTTTCATGTGTCCTTCCCAAAACACAGTGATGCAATATTCGTCACCAACACCAATGACAGATATTATCTACAATTATGAACTGGGACCCTGTGAACTTATTTTATGTATCATGACCACGCAACAGATATTCGTTCCTTGTTAATTCCGGTGTATACTGGTTGTTGTGTCGATTGGAGTTGGAGGTGCGTTGGGAGAACCAAGGCCTATCGTTTTTTTTTTAGTTTTTTTTTTAACTCTGGAGCATTTAGAATGAATCTGCAGCAGTTCACTTCAATTTGGCTTCCATGTCTTGCCCATCCGACATGGACTGCCAAATAGGGATTCTGCTATGTGATAGCTGGAGTGGACGTAACAGAAAAGCAGAGTATGATTACATGCCTAGAGAAATGGCAACAAGTGTAGAATTTGCCAACAGAGTGATAGGCTTTGCTTCTTACATCCAATCTCTGTCATTGTTCCAGGCACTACAGATTTGCAGCCTACAGGCAGTGTGCCCTGTGGCTGTGGAGCCGCTTGGGAAAGAAGAATAGGTGGCCCCTGCCATCCTGTGTGGTCAAGACAATCAGGGGCAGGTACCCTGTTGACGTGTATGCGGGCTACAGGGATGCAGAATAAATTGCGTTGACCCAGAGACCACGCAACCCCCTTCCCTTGTCTCTTCACCCTCCCTGCATGTGTGTGAAGTCACTCGTAGCCATGAACGGAATCCTCTAAATCACGTGACCTATTATCTACGATATCATGTGACCATAACTATGATCACATGATCGTAGTCAAACCAAAGCCAGTGCACCTACGTCGCATACAGTCACACGACGGAAGCCACTTCGGTGGCTCCGAGGCGAGAGTGCCGGCCTACGGATCCCCATGTGGCGGGTTCGAATCCCGGCCGAGGTGCCTGCAATCTGATGGAGGTTTATTGCGGAGAAGGCACCTTGGTAATCGAGCTTTCGGTTGCACGTCAAAAGATCCCCAGGTGGTCGAAATTAATCCTCGGTCCTCCGCTGGGGCGTGCCAGATGCCCGTCGTTGGTTTGGCACGTAAAACCCCCAAATTTGATTTGAGTCGCACGACCGGATTGCTTCATTTTCCTTCTAGAATCCAAAGGCTGTCATCAAAACTACTAGGGCGTGAGAAGTGCTCATTTGGAACACTAACCTAAGCAGTAGAATTTGGCACCCACTAATATCATTTTAAAGTAAAGATAGAAAAAGCACCGACGTCATGTTCGCGCTAACAGTGTTGCGCAGTGTACTTCTCCTTTCTTCTGGATCTGTTCTTTCAAATGGGGAAACTGCATATAACCTTGAAAAATCTGACTGCATGAAGCTACAAGATGCTCCCCTACATCAGCCGTCTGAGCGTGCCGGTGCGATGAGGCGAAGAAAGGCGAATTGCGATTGCTGCAGTTTTCAGAGGGACGTGGTCGATTGTTCCGAGGGTTTGGATGACGACGTGGCTAACATGACAAACAAATGACGTTCTGCTTGGGTGACTATAGTCGGTGACAGGTCAAGAACGAAGTGAAAGCTCCTCCCACACCTTTCCACTTCAGTGCAGCGAACGACGGAGAGGAGGTCCCCTCCTCTCCAGCATTCGCTCTACTAAAGTGGAAAGAGGTGGGAGGAGCTTCCACTTCGTTCTTGACCTGTCACCGACTATAGGCATGCTGTAAATTGTTTTACTTTTTTATTTAGAATTCATTGCCAACCTACATTTGATTACTGTACTCTCAACATGTGCTCTAGTATAGACTTTTCCAGTCCAAGCCTTCTGCGAAATCCTTTTTTTACTTGGCTGTGGAATGCTTTTTGAGCATGCACAATAGATCCCCTGCATGGAATATTCTATGCCTCCACAGCCCAGTTACCCTGGATTTTTCCTCCCGGTGATAAATAGGATCTGCTTATATATTTCAGTGAATACTACGATTGTTAGTTCATATTGTCGTTATAATTGGCAAGTATACCCTCACATCATGCAAATACTTTGAGGAAATTGCACAATTTCGGTCGGGCTTTTAGTTAGGCATAGTGCAGTATTCTAGTTACATCGACCCATGTATTGACCTCACAATGCAGAAATCATCCAGGGGATCACAAAATGGGTACTACCATCGGCATCACTTGTTTTCAATTATGAAATTATTTCCTTTTGGTCATGCAAATTTCTACACCTTCCAGGTTCTGGTACCGAGAAGTCAAGTTGTTGGAAAATTAATGCAGTTTATTTCAAGCGTAAGGTTAGCGAATGTGCCTTACTTATTTGCAAGCAGGTCAATATTGACAGAAGACAATTGTTGCAGACGGGGGGAAAACCGTGGTGTAGACTGGAAAATGCAGCACTGTTTTTAAATCGCCATAAAAAACTTCTGTTAATATTTCCAGTGTTATATGCAACCACCCCACTTATGTTATTGCTGCATTACCAGCCTACCTCCTGGATGAAAACCCCATTTATTGGAAAAACGGGCGGGCTGCCCCGCCACGGTGCAGTCTCCACAGCATGTCCGCTCATCAGCGCATGAAAAGAAAGATGGATAAGGCATTGTGTTGCAGTCTTCGGAAAAGTGTCGGTTGGGTTCCGAAAATGCTTCAATGTTCTAAAACTGCTGCGATGGGCTAAGCTTGTGAACTGGGGATGGGATCTCTGGTGCAGAACTACATGCTATTCAAAATAGCACTTGATCCGCCTTCATTGTGGTGTGCCCACAATGAATGTGACAATACGGTCACCGATTTCCTCGATCTTGAAAGCTTGCACAAATTATAGCTAGGATCCTGCGTTCTTGAATTTAATTTTTTAGCAAAATTAGAGGGTGTTTTCTTTTTTTTTTTTGAACCATCAATTCGGAGCTTCCATTTATGTACGCAAAGTTCGGAGTCTTTCGGCATTTTCGATGAGGCAAATGAAAGGTATAAAACAGCAGTTTGTGAATTTAGTAAAGCAGTATTTTCATATAAGAGCCGTATTCATCTACTGTCGTAGAGGGCCTACCTCATTTTTATTATAAGGGGCTACACGGCAATGGAAGTTCACACTGCAATAAGAGGAGAATTGCAAAAATGCAAAAATTGTTCGAAGATTCGGGGAAATATAAAGACTGGTGGAGCTTATAACAGCTGGCAGACCGAAAAATTGAGTTTTTCAAATGAATCTCAATCAGCAAATTTTAACGGTTATTGTTTTTCGGAGTTTATCAGGTTTATCTGAGAACGCAGAACCCTAATTACAGCTAATGGACTGGGAAGAATTATAGCACTGGCCTGTCCTCATCTCCTAATTCCTCTACTGTTGGCACTGATGTGCCAACAATAGAGGTGCACCATGCTGGGCTTGAAAAATCCGGCTTGAGAGGGCAGGTGCCAATGCTTGCATCTCTCCATTACTCTTGATCGTGGCCCTAAAATCAAGCATTATCAATAGAGGAGATCTGCATTTCTGTGACAAATGATTGCAGACAGAGCTAATGTCCTCCTTACTGTCGGTCAGGGTGTCCTAACGGAAAATGGTGATCCATTTTGCAGCTCGGCTGTTTTCTCTTGGGTCTGTCTGCTTGCATTCGCCGTACGTCCTGCAAAACAAAGCGGTTGCCTACCATGGTAGTTTTCATTAGGACGAGGCTTCTTTGTGCTTACCACTGGCAGCATGAAAGATCCAACCCGGTCTTTGCTGCCTGCTGCTGTTCGCCTCGTTGACAGACTTTCCAAACTACAGTGAAAATTCAGACTGTTGCATAATTACATTCCTAGACATTCCAAGTTGGGCTAGATGGGCGTTCACACTGAAGTTAGTGTCGTCCTCACCGCAAGTTGAGCTGTAGCCTTGAATCTCGCTGTTTTGTGACTTTTCTGTGACTCCGACATTGCCACCGGCTAAAGTTCCTTGCCTTCTTTTGAGATAGGCATGCCATGACCAGCTTGATTAGGCCCTAAAATGGAACATTCTCATGAGGAGAGATCTGTATTTCTGTGAAAAATGATTGCGGACAGAGCTAATGTCCTCCTTACTGTCGGTCAGGGTGTCCTAACGGAAAATGGTGATCCATTTTGCAGCTCGGCTGTTTTCTCTTGGGTCTGTCTGCTTGCATTCGCCGTACCTCCTGCAAAACAAAGCGGTTGCCTACCATGGTAGTTTTCATTAGGACGAGGCTCCTGTGTGCTTACCACTGGCAGCATGAAAGATCCAACCAGGTCTTTGCTGCCTGCTGCTGTTCACCTCGTTGACAGACTTTCCAAACTACAGTGAAAATTCAGACTGTTGCATAATTACATTCCTAGATATTCCAAGTTGGGCTAGACGGGCGTTCACACTGAAGTTAGTGTCGTCCTCACCGCAAGTTGAGCTGTAGCCTTGAATCTCGCTATTGTGTGACTTTTCTGTGACTCTGACATTGCCGCCGGCTAAAGTTACTTGCCTTCTTTTGAGATAGGCATGCCATGACCAGCTTGATTAGGCCCTAAAATGGAACATTCTCATGAGGAGAGATCTGTATTTCTGTGAAAAATGATTGCGGACAGAGCTAATGTCCTCCTTACTGTCGGTCAGGGTGTCCTAACGGAAAATGGTGATCCATTTTGCAGCTCGGCTGTTTTTTCTTGGGTCTGTCTGCTTGCATTCGCCGTACGTCCTGCAAAACAAAGCGGTTGCCTACAATGGTAGTTTTCATTAGGACGAGGCTCCTGTGTGCTTACCACTGGCAGCATGAAAGATCCAACCAGGTCTTTGCTGCCTACTGCTGTCCACCTCGTTGACAGACTTTCCAACCTACAGTGAAAATTCAGACTGTTGCATAATTACCTTCCTAGACATTCCAAGTTGGGCTAGATGGGCGTTCACACTGAAGTTAGTGTCGTCCTCACCGCAAGTTGAGCTGTAGCCTTGAATCTCGCTGTTTTGTGACTTTTCTGGACTCCGACATTGCCACCGGCTAAAGTTACTTGCCTTCTTTTGAGATAGGCATGCATGACCAGCTTCATTATGTCCTAAAATGGAACATTCTCATGAGGAGAGATCTGCATTTCTGTGAAAAATGATTGCGGACAGAGGTAATGTCCTCCTTACTGTCGGTCAGGGTGTCCTAACGGAAAATGGTGATCCATTTTGCAGCTCGGCTGTTTTCTCTTGGGTCTGTCTGCTTGCATTCGCCGTACGTCCTGCAAAACAAAGCGGTTGCTTACCATGCAAGGCTGTATTAGGACCAGGGTGTAAGATAGACGGGTGGGGAAACGAGAGCCAAATGAGCGACCGGATTGTGTACCCCTCGGTTTTCTCTTTTTCTGTGGCGCCATCGATGTGGAGCACCGCAGACTCTCACTCCAGGTGGGCGACGGGTGGCGACTGGCTAAACTGCCGGAGATGGTTTCTCGTGGATTTTCAATAAAGACTGTCGTGCTCTCTATTTATTTTGCGCACTCTCCCATAAAGTTCCATGCAAATCCGATTCCGATTTTTTTCCTCTCGCCGCAGCGCCATCTGTTGCAAATCGGGGGTACCCGCAAGCAGACGAGTACACAATCCGGTCTCGGCGCTGCGGTAGGCTTCTATGGGCCGTTTCCCCACCTGCTTATCTTACACCCTGATTAGGACCAAGTTCCGGTGTGCTTACCTGCGGCAGCATGGAAGTCCCGACCAGGGATTTGATGTTGTTACTGGGGGCTCTGGCCGAACCTGGACATTCGTGCTGCCACGAGTTCCTCTTTTGGAGGCCTTGTGTAGGCTGCAGTCATCGGTGCCGGGAAGACGACGGTGTTGGCCTTCGATGCAGCAGCCAGGGACCGCCACTGTTTGCTGTTCTCCATTGCCTCCTTGATGAGCTTTCCAACATACTCTAGAATTCAAACCTTTGCATGATAACATTCCTAGGCTCTCTGGACAAGGCATTCACACTGCAGTTAGTGTTATACTCACTGTAAGTGGGATCCGTAATCTCTGGTCGTGCTGTGTGGTGGCCCTTTCGTGCTTTTGATGTTACGACCGACCAACGTGGCTTGCCGTCTCGTGTGACGGCTTGGCAGCGGTTTGAGCTTTCGTTGAAATGGAGGATTGCAAGTCGAGTCCTGCAAGATGGTTACATTTCAGTGATGGTAAAGTGTGCCACTTACAAAGAGTGGTTATTCTGGCATCAATCCAATTCCATTATCTGATCATTAGGAAGAGACTGTCAGGTTTGTCGTATTGGAACCAATGGACTGGATGAAAGTGTCCAAACGAAGGAAATGTGATTGTAAATTGGTTGACTTACTTTGCAAGCATGCCTTCTGGGCTGAAAGCCTGGGACTTCGGGGCGAAGTCTATCAGGACGCTGTGGAACGCCTCCAAAGCATATGTCTGGCCATGTGGAGACATCTGTGCAAGGTCCTTCAGGAGCAGTTTGTTGCCAGTGATGCTCTTGAATTGGTTGTAGGCCTGCGAGTCTGAGGATGATACATGTTTTAGAAAAACCACCTTCATTTGGAAGAACAAAAACATACTGGGATCCACCCATGGTCGTGTTGGCTCTGGTATGTCACCATGGAGGCACCTTCCATATGTTCCTTCGTGCCCCGAGTGTTTGTTGATGACATGGTTGTGCATGCTGAGCCAGATGTCGATGAGCAGTTTCTTTTCGCCTCCTGCAGCCCTCGCTGACCAGTACATATGGTTTGTAGTTGTCTGGATCCAGATTTGCAGGTCTTGGCATCCAGCCCGTTTGCTTGCTGCTGTCAGCTTCTTTTTCACACCTAAAATTCAGAGTCGTGTCAGGGAAACCTGCAGCGTGATCGCTGGAAAATAAAAGCTACACGAATGGCCTGTTAGGATTGCTTACTTTTGGAGATGTGCCATATGTCAAAGAAGTGGTCAATCCCGGGTTCGTGCGTCTTCATGTGCTTTCGTGTGGCAGGGTGAGGGTCAGTCACCAACGTTCGGATCTTGATACTTGCACCATTAGGTTTCGGAAGATAGCAAAAGAATAAGTTATTATGCCAATTTGAACAGAGTGCCTGAAAGGCCGCCGAGTAGTGATATACACGAACTATGCATGAACATACCTTTCTCCTTGAAGAATTGCAGCTGCTTGAGGAGGTCCTCCTTCTCCATGTTGACACTGGCCATGGCCTGTTCAGACTAAAAAAAAGTGTGAAATGAATATTTTACCAAAATAGTGCATAGCAGGGAAGTAACTGATGACATAACACAAGAGAAAGATTATGAGATTGTTGCAACTGGTTCACGTAAATCTGACTACTTGCCTCTTTTAGCTGGACCTGGACAGAGTGTAGAATCTTGTTGATTTGCTCGACATGGACTGTGTACGTCAGGTACTTGGCACAGAACCCAGGGGAGTCAAATCTCCCGTCAGCAGAGATGTCCACCTCTTTATTCTGCAACTCGTTGAGAAGTTTCTGTTGCTCTTGCAGCCAGACCTGTTCATGCAGATAAATATTGCTTTAGAAAGACATGGAGCATACTACAATAGTCCCATCTGTTTATGTATGCATAGTGTAGTGTTGTAGAATGAATGACTGAGTGAAAGAAAAAGGAAAGCACAATGCAGCGAGTTTGAATGTGACTTAGATTGTGCTAGGTTGTGATTTCTGTTTTTATGTTTGTGTACTTCATAAAAGAGGCAGAAGGCCGCCCGTTACCTCGAAGCTGCCCTACCCTTTTCCATTCTAACAACCACCCTCTGTCTCTTGACTCTCACAAGGAACCTGACTCACTCAACCCAATGCCAGACAGGGAACTGCCCCAGGATACTACACATAGCAGAAATAAATTAAAGTATTGTGGATTTAGTAGCCCATGGCACATATGTAACTTGATGAATAAAATTTTATCTCTTAGCACTATACCATTGAAGTGGCGTACTACAAGAAGATATTTATTCATTTAACCGAAGTGTTACTGGGGCTCCAGTTTTGTACCTCATTCGAAAATTGGGTATATGGGAAAAAAAATGCAGCAGCAGGGTCCCGGAATATTGCTCACCTTGTGGATTGCAGGTAGAGCGAAGGCCTTGCGATGCTCGTAGAAGCTCGAGTTGGAGATTACCTGCACGTTCATATGGCGTAGCATCCGCAGCGTAGGGGCAATCTTGACTCCGGAGAAGACCAGGTGGCTGGTCAGCAGTATGTTCCCTGCTAGTCTGCCGTTGACGATGGGCTGGCTTTTCCATGTGCGCACGTGCTCCACAGGGCAGATGCTGTAGACTGTGATCCGTGTGCCGGTAGTTTCGATCGTTGTTTGGCACAGTCTTGAGCACTCTTGGCACGTCTTGAAAAGCTTCCTTAGGCAGCTCTCGAACACCAGAAACTGGCGCTCTTCTTCTGGTGGTGGTGGTGGAGCTGATGCACCATGCTCGATTCTGAAATGGGATCATGTGAAGCATTCTTTACAGATTCTATGTGTTTATATGCACAACTTACCTCTCGTAATCCTCGCTGTGAGACGGAGAGTAGGTTCCGTCAGAGTCTGGCATGTTGCTGGGAACAGGAGATGTGCATTCATATGGCACCCCACTGCTACAAGTGAAGAAGGCAGACTCAGGTGGATGCGACTGTGCAGGCACGTCTGCGACAGGGACAGGTGGCACCACTGCAGGGATGTTTGTCTCAGCAGTACAGTCCCTGAGGGTCTTTTCTGCCTCGTAGTGTGCAGGCAGTCCAGTTTCCGAGGCCTGGGTCGGCAAAGGGCACTGTTTATTACACATTTCATATTTTTAAGGTTGAAGGGTGTAACTCGAGCACTCCACACAATGCCGTCACCGCGGCAAACATCCATGATGCCTTGTTTTTTAGCTGATGGCAAACATCCATGAATTGTTTTGTAGCCTTTCCATAGCTTAGAATTTCATGCACTCGACCAAAGCTCTCACTGTAATACAAATCTAAGGGATGCCTCACTCTTTACATTTGTTTTCATAACTTACATTACCATCTATATTTTCAGTCTCTAGCTCAGCAACAATAAATGTCCATGTCGCGATATGATGTCACATTACATACATATGTAAAGCTGCAGCTTCACATGTATTTACCAACCACTGAAGGAAATGCAACCAACGAGCACTTATAGCCGCAAGTGGGAAACATACAGCAACTGCCATGAGTTCTCAACGTCCAGAAGTGCCACCAAGCAACAAAATTATGGCGTGCATTTGCTATGTGCATACAAATTTGCAAACGCGGGTTCGCACGCAATCGTGGGTGCAGGATTGTGAGAAGAAAAAAAAAATGAGTTTGCTCACAAGAGTAGATATAAAAGAAAACCTGCTTGTTAGTAGTCACGGACACTTGGAACTTTGCTAAGCTGATACGAAAGGGTTCCTCTCTGTAAACAAGCTGGGAAAACATTTATTGACTTCTTGTGGGTCCATAGCAGAGGGGGGTGGTGATGGAGGTACCATTACAGGCGATTTATGACTGTGTCCTCTTATCTCATTTGTTCGTGTTTTCTTTTTACAAATGAGTTCGATCCTGGTGGTGCATGCACTGATAGGGTTCTTCGTTTTCGGGTAAAACCCGATAATACCTAATTTTTCTCCCCCGAATAGTTCTGATGAAAATCGGGTTAAACCCGATTTCTCCCCGAAAAGCAGTGTTGAAATCACCTGACTTGATAGAAAATATTAACCATTCTGGATCTGTTTAAACGGTGTTTCCTTGGTCATCCGTTGATGGTTACAATTTTCTTCGATTTGCGTGACCTCCGCAAAGATTCACTTCAGAGCCGATCAGAAGGTAGAAACATATCCTATGCCTATATAATATATTTTGTTTACTTTTGTTCATGTAAATAACATATTGCACGTACTTGTAATTGATAAAGAAATCCCGAAAAAAAATCCGAATTTCGGAATGGTTTCTGGAAAAACCCGATTTCTTCCCGAATATCGCCCGAAAAATAGCGCCCGATTTTTACCCCCCGATTTTTGAAAAATATAAAACCCGAAAATGAAGAACCCCATGCACCGCACCATTCGCGCGATAAGCTCTCGAACCGCTTGTCCGGAACATTAGTGACCACTGATCGACTTCACGAATGCCATGTGGATTCCCATGTTACACAAATGCCTCCTCAGTTCTTAGTTCAGAATATAGATACCAGAAGCAGCCGCACTGCGCAACGCAGAATGCCATGTTCGTGACACTCCCAAAAATATTTGAGCCATCGAAAAACTCACCACGACTTTTTGGCGCTTTGGGGGAGGATCGTCGGTCTCATCGGCGACGGGAAGCAGAAGCGTCGGCACAGCATCTGATCGAAGACGTGAACGACGCAGGTCGTCCTTTCGGAAAGCAGTCGGCTCGAAATGTTCGGCATAAAAACGGGGAATGAGAGGCAGGTTCTCGATGTCGTGCCCTCGCCCGGCGCAGCGTAACCACGCAGTCCTTCGTGGTTCTTTCTCCGGCAAAGAGAAGAATCGCAAGCCCTTGCGAACGTTCTTCCCAGTTTGATGGCGGCACGTCTTGACGAAACAAACGTTCGGCATTTCAGGAAAATCGCTCACTCAAAGGATAAAAGAAACTACTGCAATACGCAGTCGCATTCCACAGATGACAAGGAAAAGTTTGACTCATTCACGTGGAAGGATCGCAAAGCTGGCTTCGGAATAGGGATCCACGGGAAGAAGGAACACGTGTCTCGCAAACGCACGCTTGCACACGCCCCGGGAAGCAGACGACCCGACGCGCCGACGCATCACCCCCTAGCAACAAGCTTACGGGGAGAAAACATAGTTCGCTGGCTTTGGAACGATAATTGCGAACTATGTTTCCCGCACCACAATCAGTTTACGTTTTTCTCAAACTCTAATTTACAACAAGCTTAAAAAGTATTGCAATAATAACGTTCGCATTCACCGCGAGATGCAACATTTCCATTGGTCAAGTTTTAGCGATGGCCAGGGAATGGGCGATTGTCTTTCAAGAGGAAATAGTAACGATATATTTCTACTGCCATTTACTCAATAAACGGTTTTGTACTCTAAAACTTTGTATACATATTAACTTGCACCTACTACGCAATTTAACAACATAAACAGACGATCGGAGAAGGCTCCGGAGGGCACTTTTAATGCATTTACAGGATTGAAGATCGGCCACAGTATGGTCTAGCCGTGTCGACCATTTTGGATTAAGAAAATTCCTTGTAGGCGCTTCGGGGTCGAGAAATGTCACTTTGGTAAATGGTGTCAAACCGAAACTAAACAGGAAAGAGCGCCGGTAGAGTTATCGCTCCGCCTTTCCGGGCATGGGATTCGTCATTATCACGGCCGGTTCCACTTGCTTAGGCGAGCCGGCCGCGATAATGACGAATCGCCTGCCCGGAAGGGTGGAGTGATAACTTTACCCGCACTCTTTCCTGTTTAGTTTCGATTTGACACCATTTAAAAAAAGTTACATTTCTCGACCCCGTAGCGCCTACTAGGAATTTTTTTATTCAAATTTGACGAAACGGCTAGACCATACCGTGGCCGATCTTCAATCGTCTA